ATGCAAAAAAAGGGGCTAAGAAAACAATGAATGCCGCTCGATACATTGATTTATTAGCAGTAGTTGGTGTACCTCCAATGAACCAATTGTTTCCAGGTAATGATTATATTTTTCAAGATGATACATCTTGTATTCACCGTTCACTTGCTGTTATAAAATTTGTAGAAGAAAATATACCTGAACGTATCGATATTGATGACAAAGTCGCCAAAATGGATGACATATGGCCAATAGAAAAGTTGTGGAGCATCATTCGACAAGATTTAAGTAAATATGAATTTAGTTTATTACATGATGTCAAACAAAAAATTATCGATATATGGAAAAACTTTAGTGAAGAAAAATGTGAGCAAATTATAAAGAGTATTCCAAAAATGTTAAAAGGAATCGTCCAAAAACAAGACCAAAGCATTACACAATTTGATTATTATTAATATTTATACAAGATGTCAAGCCGATAAACTTATAGATCATTAAGATATTTTATTGAAAAAGTTTTTTTCAAAAAATGTAAGATGAAAATATTCACTCAAGATTAGTAAAATGGCAATAACATTGAACTACATTTATGCATTTCGAAGTATTTTTTTTCAGATAATAGCTCTACTCTTCCTCTACAAAATTACATATTTCGATTAATAAACTATCTATAGATTTGTCATAGATATCATCAGTTTACTGAGAGGGGTCGAAACTTGTTGATCACCCTTTAGGTACTGTTAACTATCTCAGGCTGCGTGTGTGGATGTGGCAAATCTATAGACAAATACCCACATCCTGATTCTATAATTAGAGACGCCCAAAAAGTCTCACCAGAATAGAAAAATTTTCGAAGAACTAACGTCTCAAATATAGTAGAAAACCTAGCTTATTACCTAAATCAAGATATTTATTCAGAATCGTACCTAGTTTTCAACGGTCTCAACGAAAAATCAATGAAGACTGCCTAGAGTGACAGAATCGACGAAAAAACAAAACCGTGACAACTTTCGAATACGTTCTCAACCATTTATAATTCTGACCTAATATAACTTGGATTAGCATGCGGCTTCATCGTGTTCCTTGCGTTAGATCTTCCGACGTGTTTTCATGATTCGAGGTTTCTTGAGAAATTTTTGTGATGATTACTTAGCTGTTCATTTTTTTCTCACTCTGGGTATGGATGTAGGTGAAGAGAGACCTAAGCCACCCTAAGCACACTCAATCATCTATATGAACATTATTGAGTAATAAGAAAAAAATGTTCAGAAAAACTTGAATGACAGAATTCAATCTAAAAGACAAGAGCAAAGCATATCACGTTAAGTATCAAGACAGAATGAGAAACGATGCCTCATTTCACGTTGCTGATTGAAGAATGAAGCGAACGTTGAGCATGAAGGTAAAGATAAGAATGAGCTGTGGGCTAGTTCTTCCAATATTGCTCTTCTGAAATCAGACTCAATCTTGCACTGCCATTAAATCGTACACATGGAAAATTGGGTATCAAATTTTACTAGTCTTGTTTAATTTTCAAACGAAAGATTACCTTGAATCGTCCTTGCTTTAAATGCGTTTTATATCATGCAAGCCTAATCCTACTCTCTTATTCCCAGGTCGATTGTTCCAGTCTCCGTATCCTGCATGAAAATACGAGAAATAGCGGAAATTGGAAGCAGTATTCCGGCCGGAAATTTTCGGAATTTTTTCCGATGATTTTCCGGTCGGTTCCTGCCGGAAAACATAGGAAATTGGTCGGAATTCACCGGAAAAAATCTGAAAAATTTCCGACAGGAATACTGCTTCCATGTTCCGGTGTTTTCCTGCCGGAACTGACTCGTACTTTTCGACCTGGGTTGATTTCAATCAAAGCTTTATCACTTACCCGATGCTTTTTCGCACAAATATATATCATCTTCCGTTAGTAAACCATCGACATAGTGTGGTATCTGTTTCGAGTTTGACTCTACTACAACTGCTGCATTAACAGCACGCAATACTTTTGATATATCTATATTAGATCTCACAATATGTTTCAAAAGATGCTTCGTAAATAAGCCATTTTCTTCCTCTTCATTGTCATCGGCTTCGGTACCAGGGGCACAGGAAAATCCAATCAAATACCCAGGCATTGCAATATGTTTTTGATTATAAGATTGAGAGGAGCTTTGAAAAATGTTTCGCGCGGTCATTTTCTTTAAATCAGGATTACGAAGGTAATAAACTCGACAACAATCCAATAGACAAATCGTTGCTAGTGGATATCGGTCACCGAAAAAGTCCAAGAAACCTTGCACATGAATCATGTATCGTTTCAAGTTTTTATAACTTATCTGTTCATGTTCTGTCGTTCTATTTAGAGAGGATACGATTTGTCGAATCTCTTTATCGTTGCCGTTGGTATCTTCTATTGGTATCAGGAAATTTTGATCCTAGAAGTACGGTACAATAAAATAAACAATTTCTCTGTCGTAACCGACATTGTACAGTATCTCGATTTTTTTATGATTAGAACTGTTTTCTCTAAAGAAAATGAAGAATTCTTCACTGTAGCCGGAAAAAGATGCAGTGTATTATGATACAATTTGTTATAATGTGTTCAACAGTCTTCTTTTTATGTTACAATGGGTACAAACATTTGCCGGAAACAAGTAATCTCAATGATATTCGTAGAACGTTAGTACTCACCTCCCATTGTATTCCATGTCCAGCAAAATAAAACAAGACGATGTCACCTCGTTGTATTGAATGCTTAAACTTTAGAAGAGCGGACTCGATTTCGTCGTGTGTGGAATCAGTTTCCATTGTAACACTGAAACCAATACTTTCCAGCGTAGATGCCATAGCATTGGCGTCTTTTACTGGATTCGTTAACTTCTTGAAACATATATAAGCACCATTACCGATTACAAGAGCCTTTTTATGGTTTGAGACCATTCTAGATTGAACTTTCGCTTCAGCCATTATACAAAATTATTTGTATCTGAAAAACCTATGTCATGATTTGAAAAGCATTTTAAGAGAGAGTCCGCGAGAGGACTGTGAGATGTTGATCGCACTTCTACTTTATTTCTACCACTGTATCTCTTAGGATAAAATCATCCTTTCCATAACAACGAGACGATATATATATATAGGGTGATAACAAGGGTTGGGAAATTTCTATAAACGATGAACAAGGAAAAATCCATATATAGAACACAAAAGAAAGAAGAATCGAATGAAATGAAAAATTTCAACATGTATAGAAGGAAAGGAAAAATCCATGGTGCATGACTAACAATAAGAGAAAAGAAGACGAACATAAGTTCATAGGTATAATCCTATAGAAAAGAGGGAAAATCCTTATGATTGTATCTGCAGAAGCTGCAGATCATAACAAGAACCACCATACTCACAATATAGGTCGCCGGAGAAAAAAAATTGTTTCGATTTCATTATCTCAAATGAAAGGTCTAGTTAAACCATAGTCAAATCCAAAATATTATATCATTTGGTTTTACCTATGAAAAATGCGAGGTAAAACAAGTTTAGAGGGTATATTTGCACGCTAAAAAATCATTAAAAATGAGTGTGCTCAGTATTTTGACATTTCCTCATGAACACTTTGACCGCTTGAGATCTAGAACATCTCACTTGATGAAACACAGTGTAGGGTACGAATTTCTTCTATTCAAGTGATTCATATATAGGGTAAAAGCAATGTTCTAGGCCAAAAACCGCCCAAACCTAAAAACAACCTACTTTCCTGGATGGCAGTATTTTGATCTTTTCTCATGTGACACATGGGATCCCAAAAGTTCGTTTCTTACCAGACATAGATCTCTTCAAGACACATCTTTTGACATTAATTTGTCTAGACGAAAAAACTGGAGAGCCAAGTTAGTATGAACCACACTGTGGCCTACCTCACCTAGTGACCATTGATTCTACATCTCAAAGTCGCACAATTTTTTTAGAAATCACTGACACTGACTTTCGATTCATGTTCAGCGCGCAAAACTGAGTCGAATAGGTTATTTTAACTTGATCACTTACTTGTGCCTAGCATGTTCAAGATCATGGGTCCTCCTTATGGATATATGATATGTAGATGTCTCAGTGTTTCGATAATAATTCACTAATATTAATCGCTATTGAGTTCGGATTTTTACCATTTGATAGCTCTTCTGGAAAGCAATAAAACTGTATACTTTGCAAAGTCAGAAACCACTGATCACTTGAGACATTCCTAGACAAATTGATTTCAGAGCACAGTTCTATAGATTTTTGACTCCAATTAAGCCTCTTTTTATTCGAACAAGAATGATTTGAACAAGGGGGAAACAGCTGACTTCAAGACTTCAAGACTTCAAAAGACTTCACGAGACTTCACGAGACTTCATGAGACTTCAAGCATAGAGACTTCAAATTTTTCAAAGACTTCTAAAGACTTCAGAAGACTTCAAAAGACTTCAGAAGATTTCAGAAGATTTTAAAAGACTTCAAAGGACTTCAAAAGATTTTTGAGACTTCACAGAACTTCAGAAGACTTCAAGGGACTTCAGGAGACTTCAATGATTTCAAGAGACTTCATGAGACTTCATGAGACTTCGTGAGACTTCATGAGACTTCACGAGACTTCATAAGACTTCACGAGACTTCACGAGACTTCAGGAGGCTTCATAAGACTTCATAAGACTTCACGAGACTTCATCAGACTTCATCAGACTTCAGGAGACTTCAGAAGACTTCATGAGACTTCAAGAGACTTCAGAAGACTTCAGAAGACTTCAGAAGACTTCATGAGACTTCAAGAGACTTCAGAAGACTTCAGAAGACTTTAAAAGACTTTCAAGACTTCATGGGACTTCACGACCAAAGTCTCTGCTGTTTCTCCCTTCGATTTGAATAAAAACCAATGTCATATTCGAAATGAGCGTAAAAGACTGACTCGATTCATGTATGTTTCAAAGATATCTAAGAAAATTTTTTTTCTATTAAAAATTTATCCTGTAATCTCCCTCAGGGTTTATGGAAAAATGATTTCTTTCATAAACACCATATTCTGAGGAATGAAATAGCCCAGCTTCTCTAATGTCAATAAAAGTAAAACGGCAAAAGACTAAACGACAAAAACACGATTGCAAGAGAAATGCGTGTGGGTGGGTGTGAGTATGGGTACCCAGGTCGACAAATTAGACAGTAAGATCTTATAAGATCCTACGTCTGATCTTATATGATCTTGCCAGATCAGACGAAAATCGTACAAAAAATCGTGGTTCATGCAATCTTATAATAAGCCGTACTATAAGATCCATCAAAGATCTTGTTGTTCGGTAAGATTTTACTATAAGATTATAGGAAATCTTGTGTGACAGTAAGATCTTTGATGGTTCTTATAGTACGAC